TAATGCAACGTTACCATAACACTGGCGGATTTTTCTGCATGCTACTGCAGTTGCGATCTCCGGTTTTGCTACCATAGGCGGGTGGTGGGGAGGTATTTTGCAGCGCTCGGCTGCATACATAAGTGTGTTTTACACTGGTAAACGGGAAGTTGCTTTCTAGATCTGTAGAGAAGAAGAAGAAGAAGAAGAAGAAGAAGAAGAAGAAGAAGAAAAACAGAGACAAATTTGGCAACGGTTCCAATTCACCAGACTAACTTGAGCAGGCCGAGTATGACAAAATAACCGTTGTCTGAAGAAGAAGAAGAAGAAGAAGAAGAAGAAGAAGAAGAAGAAGGATAACCAAAATAACGGAAATGGGACTGGGCAGGGCCCATCAGCATTAATGGTGCATGCTAGTGTCACAACTGACCTCAGGATCTCATCTTGACGTTGATCAATGATCCGGTGGGCGGCTCGGTTTTTTATATGTTGACTTTTGAAACCAATTTCTCCACGCAGCGAAACTTGCAGGAAGGCCTAAGCTGGGTATGAGTGGCTGATGAGTCCGAAATTGCCATTGTAGTCTCCTTTGTTGTTGCCGGTAGTTTTCATCTTTTTGATAATCTATAAATGCCTAACTGACAACACCTGCATTTGCAGTAGAATATAGAATCCCTTACTTGAATGCAGAAAGACTTGACCGGCACTAGTCTGTTCGCGATTTCACGTGTCTTAATGCTCACCAGAGCTTGAGTCTCGAGACACGTCAGTTTGCGGGGAGAATGCTAATCTCTTGCCAAACTCTAATTTTGCAGATAGTCTGTATACTGTGGCACGGGAAGGAGCAGAGACGTACACAGTAAATGACCCGAAGGCAATTGGACTCCTGCCTGCTGCTCATCGGGCGGGGGCTCTGACTGTTACTTGGATGTCCACTGGAATAGTAGACATTATACAACCATGGATGGACGGTCAAACACCCCCAGTGAACCATACATGAGGACGTATGGTTTAGAATTAGACGGCGTGGTGGCCCTTTGCGGCGAAGAATCCGGTCCATATTCCGAAAAACAAGGTAAGTTGTGCTTTACAAGCCTTCGCAAGGTTAGACCCAGGCAGGTGCATTACCTGCTACAACTAAGCAGCAAGGTGGATAAATCTGGTTATTTGAGCCTCCACGCCAATTTAAGATCGCCGAATGAAACACTGTGAGGAGAGGAAAAAACATTTTTTAAAGTTGTAAGTCATATGCTCAAGTTAAGATGGAGGTTTCGTTAGGAACTCCTAGTCTGGCTTATCGCTTACAATGCACAACTTGACACAGGTGTTCGAAGAAGCGAACCGGCGAGTTTTAGGAAGCAGCAGACTGATAGTCCGGACTCTTACTCGAACCTACAGTAGAGGGTCCATAGGAGGGCAGCAAACGTGGTGAAGAGCCTAAATTCCTTATCTGACGAATGCAGACTTGAGGCACCTAACATTTTCCCTCTTGAGCACAGGCAGCTAGGAGGTGATGTCATACAGACATACTGGGTCGAGAGGAATCGAGACTGTGCCCTGCAGTTTGATGACTTGCTTGTATTCGCAACACCAGCTAACCTTCGTGGGAACTCCCTGAATCTTCGAGGAACCTTATCCCAGCTCGATGTCCACAGCCATTTGTTTTCACAGCGTGTACTCGGTGCCTGCAACGGACTGCCAGAGGAAGTCGTAATGGCGAATTCGGTAGACACATTTAAACGCAATCTGGATGTATATTTACCAAAGAGATAACTTTCATATGCACAGGAAAGAACTGTTAGAACACATCAATACTTCGCTCACACATGCAAATGAAATTCACATCGGCTATTAGACCTTTTTATCTCCATACCTCAGGATAGCTATGTATCAATTTCAATGTTAAAAATATGTACATATGTATATGCTTCCCACTATTTTATAGTAACATGTTTATTTCAGGTACTTATATTGACTATATTTGCATGCAGTTTTCAGTAGGGGCTTCAAAGGCTGTGCTTTCTACCCCAAATATATTGAACTATAGAAAGTCACAGATAAGGGTAGTGAAGGCACATGGCGGACAGTAATGTTAATGGATTTTACGACTACCCTGTAGGTCGGCTCGTTACCATGACAATTTTTGTTCAGCCGTGTTACTGGGTCCCTACTTGGACAGTCTCAAATGCATTAATAACCAATATATGAAAAATTCAAGTGTACCACTCACCTGTATTAAATGAAACTATAGAAATTCGACTGACGAAACGCCTGCTATATACGACTGGTGCAAGTAGTGGGAAAGTGTGCTCCTCTCTTACGATTACGGTATAACTACAATACAGTGGACCTAAAAAGAAAAACAAACGTGGGGAATCGCCGTAGGAGTCACAGACTTGAGGACTGTGGCTCACAGAGGAAAAAGATGATCAAATTTTGATATGGGCGTTTTCAGTGGCACCCATCTTTACATTAACCACAAGAAATTGGGATAAGCCCCACAAAACACTGTTAAGTGTAGGAAATACGGGTTGTTACACTCGGGAATTCCAATACTAGTCCACCATGTACTACTCAGTTGTTTCTATGATAACCTTATTTACGGTTGTTTTAGATGCAGGGGAGAAAATAGCAAAAGCACGTTGAAAGTGTTAATGCGCTTATTTATTTCCTCGTTACATTAACAATTCCGTCTCTCTTGACAGCCCTATTTTCGATTTTCTAGTGTCCAATAAAATCAATTATTTCCTACCTAATACATACCAATCTACAACCCAAAATAACTGATTGAAGAGAACGACTGCTTCGTTATCATTGTATAACTCTCGTATATACGGCATAGGCAGTCTGAACGTTGCGATTTCGTGGCCATGTTACCCCTCGACAGTATGAACTCCAATACTACCTTCAGTACGGACAAGAGGCATCTGTAAAACAATACTACTTGCTCCGTTGACAAATTGTGAAAATGTCGCGTCCTCATTGGGTGGTTAAACTGCCTACCACAGCTTGCGCCACTGTGCGCCCCCAAACTATGCGCTGACTGGCTACTTCTTGTAAGCTGTTTTTATTATAACATTATAGAATGATTGATATTCTTTTTGTTGATTGCATTTAGAAATTGTAGTGATTAATTTTCTATAGGTGTTTCTTTCCTGCATTGTCATTTACCCGAATAGAGAAAACCCAAACATCAAAGTGTGCAAAATGGAATCTAAAAACTCAGTACAAAACCCCAACTAGTTGATTGCTTAATGATCACTGGTTTCAATAAGGACACATTCAGTGGAATGCTAATGATAGGAAAACACATTCAGATTTTCTGTAGCTTGACGATGTCAGTCCTAATAGCCAGCATGCGGTGCCGGAAATTTGTGCCTAGTAAACACTTGTTTTCAGGTTGAAAAATTTGAAAATTCCAGCGAGATACAATTAAAACCTCTATCTGACTTCTAA